AGGAAGAAGGAGAAAAGGGAGAGGACACTGTCGGCGGACTGAGCCGGAGGCTCTAAAGTTGACCATAGACTATTGGATATGACATGTCTGGCCAATCCGATGTGCTTTTGCTCCCATGTTTTGTGCTGAGGCCGCTGCCGCTTCCACAGCAGCCGGGAGGTTTCCCAATCGCAGCAACACCTTCGCTCTCCCGAAGCCCAGGAATGGCAAAGATTGGCATGGATGTCACGGCAACGCGCATCTGTCACCAATGCTTCCATGAATATCAAGCCATCATGCCACGTTGGGCGGCAGTGCAACTGCATGCTCATCCACACGCCTTGCTTTTGCAGAGGCGGGCATAAAATAGTCGAGGATTGATCCTCAAGTAAGAGCAAACAGCTGCATCATTGCTGACCTGTGTTGTGTTTTTCTTGGTCCCCAGGAAGGAGTATGGGAACGACCCCCTTCTACCATGAAGTCCTTGTGGGCGATGGCTGATGGAGTCGTTCCCATATTCCCTGCTCAGAACAAGCAAGTCGTTTGAGAACCTTGCTCAAGAACGTCGGCTTAAGCCCTCCACAGCCAGGAGTCTTATCCACTTTTGCAAAGATGACTGAGGCTCCCGCTGTAGCGCTTTCTCTAGAAGTTGGAGTGCCCGAAGGTCATCCTGACCAAATTGAATGTGTCCAAGAGAAAGGACCTGTTTTGCATGGTGTAACCAGCCACGAAAGCAAGGCAATGTCTGCCTGCCCGAAGAGCTCAGCCCCCAAATTCGCCAAGGCATAGGGGTTCCTGGCACGGGGCCGCGAACCGCTCAGGCGTCAGCTCCATGTCTTACAGCACATGACCCATTTTCATTAACAGCCCCACGCCTCTACTCTGTGGAGAAATGTGACTGATGAGCTCATTGGAGTGTCCGAGCCCTCAAAAAACTAAACAGCGCCGTGGAGACTCATCGTCCAGCTTGATGGCGCGCTCTAGGAGCTCTATCTTCTCCGTCCTATCAAGAGAAGCAGTCAGCTTTACACAGTATAGTGTGACAGACTGCGCACACTGTGTTTTCCGATTCAATGGAGCAAGAACAACAAAAACAAACCTCTGGTTCTGGGCACAAGCATCAAGCTCTCTGCCTCATGTTCACAAAGAGGGTGAGGCCATTCACCTACCAAGAAAAGAGAAACACACCAAGCTCCGCATAAGCTGAGAAGTCAGAAACGCTTCTCGCTGAGCCATGGGCTGCATAGGAGCACTGGGGGCACTCTCGGTACGCTTGCTCATAGAGGTCCTTTGCCTGAACTAACCCCCCAGCCAACAGCAAACAAAACCAGTCGGGCGCCAACAAACAACCAGGACCTTGCAATGAACAAGGACGACACACCTTGCCATGTGGTTGTGGCAAACAGGAGCTGCGCCCCTTTTCGAGGGATGGCTTCAGAGAACCAAACGGCAACTCGGGACCTACTTATGACACACAAGGACCTGGCCTCTGAGAGCAGCCTCTCACGCAGCGCCTCGATCTTGGGAGCACTTTCCTCTGCCTCGCGCACACGCGCACAGCCCCAATGACCCAAAGCGAGCACAAGACCGCCTCCTCGATCGGCGAATGCCTCCAAGCAGAGCCACAAGTCATGTTTGCACGCACATTAGTCGTCCACAAAAGACAGAGAGACAGAGGCTAGGGAATTCTTTTGGGACTTGTTTTCGCTGTTGGTTCTTCCGTTTTTCACTCTGGGTGCAGAGATGCTGTATTTTACAGCATTGTCAAGCAACATGCACTTGCTGGTGCACAGTCACCATCGCCGGCACTGTTTTAACATCCATGGCATCGTTTCAACATCCTCAGCATCACCAGGTGGTAGGCTGGGTTTAGGGTGGGTTCAGGGCTTGTTTAGGGCAAGTTTGGGGTGTGGGTTTAGGGTTTGGTTCAGGCAGGTTCGGTTGGCCCCTTGGGTTTGTAGGTGGGCAGACTTGCTTGGTTTGGCTGCGCTTTTACTGGAATCAGGCTTGGTTTAGAGTGAGGTCTGGTCTAGGGTGCGCTTAGAGTTGGTTTAGGCTGTGGTTGTGTTTAGGTGGGCTTTGGGTGGATAGGTTTAGGGTGGCTTAGGGATGGTTTAGTGTTGGTTTGGTTTGTTTGGGGGTGTGGCCCGGTGTGGCATGTTAGTTTAGGATTGGTTTAGGATTGGTTTAGGGTGGGTTTAGCGGGGGTGGGTATAGGGCTTGCTTAGGGATTGTTTAGGGTTGGCCCCTTTATTCGGGATGGTTTAGTGCTTGTTTAGTGGGGGTTTAGGGTTGGTTTCGGGTGGGTTCCAGGATTGGCTTAGGGTGGTTTTAGAGTGGGTGGGTGTTTGGGGTTGGCTAGGATAGGTTTAGAGTCGGTTTAGAAATATTTATTGCTGGTTTAGAGTGGGGTTAAATCGGTCGTCGTTCAGGCGGGTTCTTTAGGTTTTCTTTAGGGTCGGCCTAGGTGTGAGGTTGGTTCTGGATTCTGGTTTTAGTGGTGCTTTAGGGTGGATTTAGTGGTGGCTTAGGGTCCGGAAACGTGGGCTTAGGTGGTCGTTCAGGGTTTGGGCTTGCCATTTAAGAAAGCCCCCTAAACAAGCAAGGCAAAAAGGCACACCAAGCTAAGAATCTAAAAAGCAAAGGAGTCAAAACGACAGGAACCTGGGAGCCAAGAAGCCACCAAACCAAAAGGACAAAAGTCCAAACAGCCAGAAAATGCCAAAAGGCCACAAGGCCAAAAGGCCACAAGGCCACCAGAGCAAAAAAAACAAAGACAAATCTACCCTCCTAAGACAGATGTAGCCTATACCTCCGAGCTCACTGTGCATCGAGATGGCATCGAACAAGCCAGTGGGCAAGGAAAGCAAGTCTCTAGGCTTGCATTGATACGTTGAAATTAAGGAACATCATTGAAGGCTGGCGCGAGCAATCAGTGGGCTTCCGCAACTGCTCATGTGAGCTTGATCGGCGGGGACTTGGCACACAGAAAGAACTATGACGATTAGAACGGACGATTACACCAGAAGCCAAGCCACAAGCAATTGTAATCGTCCTTTGGTTCCAGTGCTGGCTTGAGAATATCTTTGAGCCTTCCATGAGGATTGACTGAATATGCGCTCGCTTATGAGCCTGAACACTTCGTCAGGCACATCCTCCTCACCCTCGTTGTAGCTGGTGGCCCTGCCAAAGCAAAGCTCATTGATTCACCTTTCATGGGAGCTGGCTAAGGGTATTCAAACAAAAAGCGGCCTTCAAAATGGGATGGGGGAGCCGTTGCAGGATGGAGCTCCGGGGAGGGCAGACAAAGTCGCAAAACAAACGTCAAATGCTCCAAGATCCACACCGGCGCTTTGGCCTCCGAGCCTCGCAAGCAGTGTGTCCTGCTCGTCGGCGGCCACAGTGTCCTGGAGCTCTGCCGCAACATCGCCACTAATCAGCAAATACGCATAGGAGCACCACACATAGTAATAGTTGCCCCTTCAAAAAGCTGCATTTGTCATCCTTGCAGGAAACGTCAACAGGTCATCGAGCATTTTCTCAATAAACAGTAAACTGTTGGCGCTTCTTCACCGTGGGGAATTGACGGCATTGTGCATAAGCCTCCCATCACTCCATCCACAGCCAAACTATTGACATTCCCCTGGCAGCAGACTCACCATCGGCTGTTTCCACTGTAAGCGAAACTCTTTCTCGTTCGAATCACAGTGAACATGTCCGCATCAATGACTAACGTGCTCGAAAAAACAGTGAACATGTTGAACTCGAAGCTGCAAACAGCAATCTCATGCATGGCTACTGTAGCATGCTGAATTTCGGAATTTCTGAATTTTGCTACTGTAACGTCCCCGTTTTGCCTACAGAACGTGGGAAGTCAACGTGTTGGCATCTAGCCACTAGATGGGTCGACCTCACCCAGTTTAACAGCGTTAACTGCTGCCCGGCGTCTTCCTTGACTCAAACACTTCATGGTCGCGTTCCGCCCCCGATTTGGAACACATTAACATGCGCACATGCTCAATCCTCAAGCAGAACAAAAGCTTGTTCCAGCCTTCAGCTCCAGGCTGGAGGAAAAAAAGACAAACTCTTTGGGTCGAGATTTAATTTGGGATTTTTTTTTGTTTTATTTTGGGATTTTTTTTTGTTTTCCGTCCTGGCTACTAAAATGCTGTAATTTACAGCATTTTCTCGCGAAATGTACGTATTTTACGCTAGTCCGTCAACATCATCAGCATCGTTTTCAACATCCCCCGCATGTCCAGCCAACATCCCCAGCATCACCAGCAAATTGGCTTCCCGCATCTCATGGTAAAAGTGAGGATTCAAATACGGGCAAACTAATCCCTGTAAAACACCTAAAACGTGGCGGCAGCCCCCCCCAAGATGATTGAAAAAGTGACGACGGCAGCCCCCCCCATGATGATTGAAGAAGTGATGATTCAAAAAGGGCCAAAACAAATATTAATCCCTGTAAAACACCTAAAACGTAGTTGGGGCCAAACAAATATTAAAAAAAAGCAGCAGGGGGGTGAACAGTTCCACTACGGCAAGGCCTCATGGTACAAGTGAGGATTCAAATACGGGCAAACTAATCCCTGTAGATCGAAAAAGTGATGATTCAATCAGGGGCAAAAAGTCTAAAAAATAGCGGGGGGGTTGGGGGGGCGGCAGCCCCCCCCATGATGATCGAAAAATTAAGGGCAAAGAATCTAAAAAGGAGCGGTCGCATGATGATCGAAAAAGTGATGATTCAATTAGGGGCAAAAAGTCCAACAAATAGCGGGGGGGTTGGGGGGGGCGGCAGCCCCCCCATGATGATTGAAGAAGTGATGATTCAAAAAGGGCCAAAAAAAAAAAATACAGCCGGGGGTCATCAGTTCCTCTGCGGCAAGGCCTCATGGTACAAGTGAGGATTCAACACGGGCAAACTAATCCCTGTAAAACACCTAAAACGTAGCGGGGGGGGGGGGGGGGGGGCAATTCCCTCCATGATGATTGAAAAAGTGATGATTCAATTTCGCGTGCGGGGGGGGTTGGGGGTTGGCTGCCGCCCCCCCCATGATGATCGAAAAAGTGATGATTCAATCAGGGGCAAAAAGTCTAAAAAATTGCGGGGGGGTTGGGGGGGGCGGCAGCCCCCCCCGTGATGATCGAAAAATTCGGGGCAAAGAATCTAAAAAGTAGCGGTCGCATGATGATCGAAAAAAGTGATGATTCAATTAGGGGCAAAAAGTCCAACAAATAGCAGGGGGGTGGGGGGGGCGGCAGCCCCCCCCCATGATGATCGAAGAAGTGATGATTCAATCAGGGGCAAAAAGTGTAAAAAATTGCGGGGGGGTTGGGGGGGGCGGCAGCCCCCCCCATGATGATTGAAAAAGTGATGATTCAATTAGGGCCAAACAAATATAAGAAAAAGCAGGGGGGTCATCAGTTCCTCTGCGGCAAGGCCTCATGGTACAAGTGAGGATTCAAATACGGGCAAACTAATCCCTGTATAACGGCACCCCCTCCCCATGATGATCGAAAAAATAGGGGCAAAGAATCTGAAAAGTAGCTGTCGCATGATGATCGAAAAAGTGATGATTCAAATAGGCGTGCATTTTAATCGAAAGGGGGGTGGCGGGGGGCCCAGAGAGGAACTTGCGATGCTGAGGATGCTGGAAGCCAACTGGGAAAGCATCAGGATGCGAAAAGCCAAAGTCAGAAAGCCGCCAAAAGCCAAAAAGCCAAAAAGCCAAAAAGCCAAAAAAGCCAAAAAGCCAAAAAGCCAAAAAGCCAAAAAGCCAAAACGCCAAAAAGCCAAAAAGCCAAAAAGCCGAAAAGCCAAAAAGCCAAAAAGCCAAAAAGCCAAAAAGCCAAAAAGCCAAAAAGCCAAAAGCCACCTGCCGCAGCGGAACTGGCAATGCAGAGGATGCGAAAAGAGAGGAACTGTGAATGCAGATGATGCGAAATGAAAAGACACGAAAGCCACAGAAACCCACGTAAAAGCCACAAAAGCCAAAAAGCCGAAAAGCCACCGACCCTGAAAAACAAAAATGATTCCTAAAAAAAAACGAAAAAAATCCTAAAAAAAATGGCCCTCCAAACTCTTTTGCCGGGGCGGAAGTGCATCCATTTTGACCCGCGTGGAGGACCTCAAAAAGCGCTCCTGCGTAGGCTCCGTGCCTTCATCCACTTCCAAAGGGGGCGTCCAGTTGTTCCAAGGCTGCTGAGGAGTCTGAGGCGTCTCGGAGGCTGAAACTGTCACGGTGGAGCTGGTGCGTTCCTCCGTCGCAGGGTCAGCTTCTGCCTTCCCAGGGTGCTCTTTCGTCTGTTTGAATACAAGTTTGTCACCCCCAAAGGGGTTCCCGCACTTGCAAAGCAAATCCACACATTTGCCCAACATTCTGGAAAAAGGACAACCCGTGCCTCCCTGCGGCTCTGCCAGCGGGCAACAGCGTTTTCCCGAAGCCGCAGCGGCTCCATGGAGGACTCCGAGGACACATGTTCCACCCGCACCGGTGACATGGGCGAGCGCGCCCACGCTGGCACGGGGGCCTCTGGCTCCACCTCCTCCTCCTCCTCCTCCTCCACTTCCCCCTCTGGAGCCTCCTCCGGCTCTGGCGCCTCTGCCTCCTACATCTGGACTTGCGCTTCAAAGTTGAGCCATTGGGCAATGAAACTGCCACTTCCGTTTCACGAAAACCGTAAAACTTGAGGAAAAATGAACAAAGCCCTCTCCTCCGGCTCCGACTGCCAATTTCCCGCGCTCGCAGAGCTCTGGGAGCTACGCTCGGCGCGGCTCGCGGCCACGGTTCCAGCAGTCAGCGACACCGCACGCCCGTAGAGCGTGTCCGCAAGGCGGCACATCACGAAGGGGTGAGGCAGAATGCTCAACAGCGCCCGCAGCTCGTCCTCCGCCTCCTCAAAGTAAGACAGTGAATACAAAAACGACAAAAACCAGATGCCAACCTGTCAAACTGGCACCTTCCTCGGATTGCAGCTTCTCGTGAATCGATGCTGGCTAGGTTTGCGCTTGTTGTACGCTGCTGTGTGGTCCAGAGTGGTTGCTGCTGCTTGCCATGCGTGCTGCTGCAGAATATGTTTCGCAGTTTCGCGCTGTTGCGTTTATCAACGTGCCTTTCGCAGCGTGCCGTGCCCAAACGCTTACAATCGGACGGATGCAAACTTAGGCCCTAATGACAATCGCGCAAAGTCCCTGGCCTCAAAAGTACAAAGCAACCAGGCACGTTAACATGCATCTTGTACCCTCTTCTTCAACACTCTGGCAACACAAAAGGCAATTTTGAATGGGGTTCAACAGCGTAGGTTTCCCTTCTGAAGGGATTCATTGTCTGCCGGCTTAAGCCAAGCTTTTCACCTGGGCTTGCGGCTCTCGCTGGGCAAGTCTTCAAGCGCGGCACATGTGTATCCGTTTGCCTTCAAGTTCCCCTTTCAGTCCGAGTCTCTTTTGGGAATGATCATGATCCAAGCCTGGTGTTAAAGGGATCTACCCAACGCGTAAAGAATCAAAAGGGCAGCGGCAAGTCTTTGAGGCTGCTCCGAAACTATCATGGCAGAATAGACAGAGAAACCATGTCGGCCCAATGCAAGTTCCCACCCTCCTTTGGGGCTTTGCCGTCTTTGTGGCTGAGGGCTTCAGCTCCTTGAAGCGCTTCTGCTCGTAGAGGCGCACGCCACAGCCCAGGCGCCACACCGCGCAGGCCCGGCGCGTGCCGGACAGCGCCTCCTTGGGCCAGCGCACGTGCGAGGGCAAACGCCCCTCCAGGCTGCGCATGCGCCAGGACCGCCCATCCCAAGCCACCTAACTCCGGTCGAGGATGAAGGCAAGTCGATTGCAAAGGGTTGATCAAACTCGTGATGTGCGCGCGTGCCTGTGTGCGAGTGCGTGCGAGCAAAAGCGCGAAACATGCGAGCGCGTGCGTGTGCGGGCATGTGTGCGCACCGGCTCCCTCCAGCCCTTGCCTTGGCATGCTGCAGCAGGTGCTGGGAACAGGCCAAGTAGGCCCCAAGCTCCGGAAAGTCCAGGAAATCCACGCAGCCCAGCAGGCTGTCGCTCCCGTCGCCCTCAAGCATGGCCAGTCGCCACGCACCCAATTGCTCCCGTCTGAAATGTCCAAGAGCCCAGGCTGGAGGCATGCACTTCGATGCTAGGCTCGGGTTGACTCTCACTTGCAAAAAGGCTGGACTCTTGCTTCACTGGTTTCTCCACCACTCTGCTTCAACAATGGCTGCAGGAGATTGGGCAACAGCAGCTCACGAGTAAGACAGCATCGCCACAGAAATCAGCGCAGCTATCGCATCCTATCGCATGCTATGACGACCACACTGGACAAAGCGTCCCCTTGCCTGACCCCGACCAGCTGGAGCAGTCCCAACCTGCGCCCGACCCGCGGCGCGACAGCTTGGAACATCAGCCGTGACCTTCCCAAGTCGCGGCCGTCCAGGAGGGATCTTGCCAGCCTCACTGCATCGAAACCAACGGAGGAGTAGAAATGGGAGACGAAACAAGCCTGGCACCCACACGCCGTCGTACGCCATGCCATGACTTGCACCTAGCACAACACTGATGGCATGAATTGGAGAGAGGCAGCAAATGCAAAGTGCTACACGACAAAACCAGATCCATCAACAGGTCAATTGGCAAGTTCATCACATCGAAACTGCTGTTTCTCGGTGCATTGTTTGAAACTAGTGTGTTCATTGTATGTAACTCTGCAACCGGGGCTGGCACTATCATCTGCTCCCGGCACAAGCCGCGTCATTGGCAAAATGGAAGTTTGCGACTTGTGAAGTGCTTGGGTTAGAACATGTCAGGAAAGACCTGGCTGCTCAACAAGCTTCAATGATGCAAGTCTGAGGAATGGAATGGCAACTGCCATCAAGAGTCGGCTCTGAGCTCCTTATTGACTGCAGCTCACGCAAACACCTCTTGTGACCTGACCTTGCAGGAAATCATTGCACAGAAGGAACGCCAGGAATGCAAAGGTCGACCCTCTAGCAGCATGCGCGGGACACTCAACGTTCCTCCAGATTGCACCTTGTTACAATGATCGCAAAGCAACCTATTCAAAAGTTTAACCCTGTATTGAAGCTGCAACATGTCTTTGCTGCGAAAGACGCAAGACAATACACAATCGGGCTCAGCTGCCACCACGACGAAAAGCTGAGACAATCAGACTTGTCCACGGCCGGCAAACCTATGTACATCATGTCAACCAATGCTAGGAGCTTCTCGCTAAAGCAAGTCATCGTCCTGTTGCAGAACAACATTCCCGGTTGCAAGGCCAGTGCTGCTCGTGACTGTCAGGCACTAAGTATTCTAGTCTTGACATGTGGGCTGTGCACAGAGGTCCTCGAAAGGATTCTTCCACACCTGCAGCAGCAATACAAGCTCTCACGTCTAATTGTCAACAAACACTCCCTTGAAACTTCGCAAGTGCATTGACAATATCAGCCAATCTGAAACTTTGCCCATCCAAAAATGCCCTGGCTATATTTGGTGCTGTGGGTCTGACTATGATTCTGAATTGCAATTGGCAGTAGACCCTAAACGGTATTACCAAACTGGCCAGAAGGGAGTTTTGAGCGCTGTTCAAGCCAACGTAGAAACGAGTCAGGGCGTGCTGGCCTGCCGCCGCTCCGGTTCTTCGCGCAGTGCCAAGGGATCTGTCCAGAGGCAGCACACACTCACGGGTCGCATGCGTGATGATGATGTCCAATGGCACATGACATGTGCCCGACAACCATGTCCGAGGGGCAACTTCTGTATATCCGTAACTGTTGCCATTGCGCCAAAGGTGGTCGATTTCTGGACATCCGAGTACCAATCGCTTCAAAGGCCGGAGAATTCCCTGCATGGGCCGGCCTTCCCAGCTCGGCAGCTCTTCCAGGTAACCAGCTGCAGGCGTGTCACCTGGGTCACTGCTCAGCGAGCTGTGCATTTTGAGAGGCATGTCTCCAAATCTGGGACCCCAAAGGGGGGAAACCCTTCTTTGACACGAGCCAATTTGTGAAGCAAAGCAAACTGCCTGTTGGATAGCCGATGAAGTCTCCAAAGCGCCGCATGTGCACCTCGATGAAGAGCGTCACCTGCACTGTGGGAAGTCCGCTACTAACCTCCCCCCCCCACTGTGCGCTTTCGTGGTGCTGCAGGCATTCAAAGGCCTCCTCTGGCCGCGACAAGTACGGGAAGTCCCCACGGGATTTCAGCTCTGCAAAGCTGGCGCCACCGTATCTGGAGGAGAGAACAACAACTTCGGCCGGTTTCAAGCAAGATCGTGCTACGTGGGCTTGAAGGCGGCACTAGAACAAACCGAAGCGAGACATGAAGCGGGCCGTGCTTGGCAACCTCCACATGTGCCATGATCAAAGCTCTTTGGGCCATGGTGTGCCATAGTGTGCCATGGTGTGCCATGGTGTGCCATGGTGTCTAAAATGCCTATTGTGGGCTGATTACAATACCTGCAAACCCCACCAATACGCGGTACACATGTTTAGCTTTCTGGCCCGGGGCACTGGATTCTCAATTGACGCCGCAGTTCGTCCGGCACCATGGTCTCTCCGTTGGACTCCAAGATGGTGATCTGCGCCGTGGACTTTCAAGCCGGAACTCCAACACGAGTCGAAGTAGGCAGGGGCTCTCGGGTGTCTTGGAGGACACTGGGAGTTGCTGTTTCGGTTTGCGTCCAAATGGATGGCTTCCTTAGGGGCTTCCCTTCAAAACAGCGGCAAAAGAATACCCTCAGGACAGGCGCAGGCCATGAACACCCACGGTGTTCGTGGCACAAGTTGTCAGCAAGCTAGTAGGTGTATGGGCATGTCAACGAGGCCTGGCGATTCTCAAGCTGCAGCGATGGAACTTGGCTGCCAGTACAGTTGAGGCTCAACCTGTCACGAGCACGGCATGCAACATGATATCCAATCACATCATGCGGCTCGTCAAACAATCCGTTCTGGAACAAGTTAAGTTGAGGTGGAATGAATCTCTGCAAGCTGTTGTTCAGGGCCAAAGCCACCCAGCTTGTCTGCCAAGTTGGAACAACCTGCAGTGCCCTCTGATTCGTCACACGGCCACAAGAACCGACGAACTGCCCAGAAGCTTTCCGCCTGCTGGCCAAATCCTCGCCGCTCAGGTCATTCATCTGCGGGTCGAAAGAGTAAAAGTCCCAGAATTGCGAATATGTCTGGCGCCTGCTGGCCCACCCAGTCGATGGCCTGCTTGGCCGACATCTCCATGAAGCCTCCCTGCACTGAAATTGCGGACGTGTATCAAAATGAGATAGTTGCAAGTTGTGTGCCTTTTTTGTTGCATCGTGTCTTCCATCACAAGGATTCCAGAATGCTTTCATTCTTTAGACAAACCCATGTTGAAAATAACGCGGCTGTGACAAGAAGCATACCAGAGCAAACGAGCATGCCTACATGCATCAAGTAGAGCACGCTTGGCGCTACGTATTTCGTGCCTGCGGCAGGGTGTCTTGCATTGCCTGCTGCCAGATAGCACAAAGATTTTGCAAAGATCCCGCCAACGCCGGTATTTGGCAATGCTGCTTGCCACTGCCTGCCGCAGAAACATACTCGGCATCACTGGGATCAAGCTGCTCCACCTTATCACGCACGGATTGTCGAAAGTCCATAGCGCTCGTCATTTGAGCAGTGACACATTGCTGGAGCCGAATCCTTTCTTGCAACTGGGCCCACAACGTGCCGGCTCTTGCGGCGAAGGCGTATGTAGATGCGAAGGAATTGCACAACACCAGGGACCTGCTCAAAAATGGCGCCCGAACGCCAGCAAGCCCTTGTCAAGCACACACAATGTTCGTGTTTGTTGAAAGGTTTCAAGCACGGCCTTACGCGCGCTGGGTATCTTGCTGCATAGTGCTGCGCCAGAAACCCACCTAAACGTGACAGCGCATCTGGTCAACTGACTGCTTCCTCCTCTGGAAGCTCCGCAAAGCTGAAGATTTTTGGGTAGGCATATGACGCGCCTTGAGCGAAGAAGCCCAGAGTGCGGTGTGACTGTTCACGTGTGGAATGGCTAGTTTGGTTGAACTCAGCTAGCCTTCCCTGCACTCTCTGCCTGCTTGGTCTTGCCCTGATGGTGCTATACTGCGAGTTGTGGTAGTTCAAATGGCTTTGGGCTGTGGTTGACTTGTTCTTGAGCCGGTTTGTGCCTGGACACCAAATAAAAATGTCCTGAAGACCTTGGTCTCTTGTTGCTTCCTCGCTTTCTTGTTATTCTCATTTGTCTGCTACTCTTTGATAGTTTGGACGTTCTTGGCTCAGCTGCGAACCGATTTCAATACTTCGATGTTCTAGCCCAATTGCAGCAAGAATTGCCTGAATCATCCAATTGGAATGATGCAAAAGAACAACTATACTTATAATGTGTGAGGTCCTGGCTCATGCTGCTGATTATTTCGCCGTACTGTGCTTGCTGTGAGATGTGATTTCAGATCCCCGTGTTTTGGCTGTGTAAATTGAGGCAACTGGACGTGCGTGACTAGGCTCTCGACCGAGCCCAGCTCCTACAATGTGAGCAGCCCGGCACCTGACAGGCTCGTACTCGTAACGCAGGAGTGGTCAAGTTTCCTGTAACAAGCCTGTCCGCAGAATCAAAACGTCCAGACTGAAGATAGTGAAGAATCGTGCTGCATGGAACAGCCACGTTGCACCAACCGTCCAACAAAGCTGCAACTGGGTGGCTTCATCGCGTCCAGAAAGCGGTCGAAGCCCTGACAGATTGGCAGGTCTCTCAAAGGCCCCTGAAATTTGTCTTGTGCCGGGCAGCTGCGAATTTGCAGCCAGCCTTGCACCACTCCTCTGGGCTGGAGAAGGCAGGGTACTGCGCACTGATGACCTTTCTGAATGCAGTCACGGGACAGTCGCGACCCCGCAGCAGCATGTTCACAGTTACAAAGAACTGACCGAGAGAGGCTGGCTCACTGCGTCCAATCTGGAGGTGACCAAGCGTGCAAATCATGCATGAGCGTGTCCTACAGATCGCCAAACATCTTTGGTCTTCTGGATTCTAATTTGAATAGCAAAAGAAGGAAGATAGTCCAAAGAGGTTGCCTTTTACACGCATGTGGCCCATAGCACATGTCCGAGCGTTCGGCATAGTAGCCCTTCCTGCTCAGCGACTGCACCTGCCCACGCTGTGACACATATTCTAAATGCTTGGCAGCTTGAAAGGTCAGAAGCTCAGCTTGCCTGGTAGAAGAATGCGGCAGCAGTGCTGCTAGTCCCATGAAGAAACCTCAGATGGTGCCTATGGCGATGAAGGGCGCCGTAAGGACACAGGACTGGTGCCTCCAGGATTGGGGATCCCCGCCCATTTTAGAAAGGCCCACACTGGCAAAAGGGCGACACTTCATGGTTGACCAACTCCCTGCTGCGACATGTCCACTTTGCCCACAATCAATCGGGTATGGTTCTTCAATTCGCGACCCTTTGGTGGATGGAGATTCATATCGACCAAAAATTTTGAGGGTGGCCCCCATTCAAATCCAAGCGCCAGGCACCAAAGGAGTGGCATCGCCGGGACCGGCCTGGCAAAGCTTCGTCCCTTTCAAGATGTCCACTCGGCAGGCAGTGATTCCAAGAATAGCAACTCCGGTGCATTTACCGTTGTTTCCCTTGAGCCAAAGAGATCCGGCAAACACAATTTTGGGAAGCACGCGAACGATCCGCAACGGCGGCAAGCCACAGACACAATCAGCGAGCCTGAAAGTACGTCCATTCCAAGTGAGAGTGGGGTTGCGCGAACCTGTCACAAGCACTCATAACTTTGAGGGTTCGAACAGGTGCGCGCAGAAGAAAACACTTTACACACGTTGGCATTTATTTTACCTGGGGTCCTTTTGGTGGCCATCATGTACATTGGGACCACCAACCATGTTTGAGGTGACACGCCCCACCGGACCCGTGGAGGCGTTTCTTTTTGGAGGGTGGGGGGGGGGGGGGATGACAGCGACCATGTCCATGTGGAGGCGTTTCTTTTTTGAGGGGTGGGGGGGGAGGGGGGGGGGATGACAGCGACCATGACCATGTTGCCAGACCCGGCAGGCGCGGCTTTGGTGTCTTCTGCGTGTGGCGGGGGGGGAAGAGGCGGGCGAACTGCGCCCCCGCAGGCACGAGTTTGGCTGGAGCAGGGCATGTGGCATGTGGCAAGCGGAGTGATGGGCACTTCAAAAGCAAACCGCATGAATACACACACAAACATCCCATCCAACAACAACAACAACGTCAACAACAACAACACACGCACGTCCTTACTTTCGCACTTCGTTGGGCACCCATGGAGTCGGTCTTGGAGCCAGTCGCACTGCTTATTCTGCTACGCCTGGCACGGGTGTCGTTGCCTCCTGGTTTGGATGGCTGGCGGGCACGCAGCAGATTGATCGCTGCTGGCATCACTTGAAAAATATCATGCCCAGTGAGATGAAGAGCCGCGGTCCCAGCGGCCTGATCAACAGTCGCCTGTGGACGAGAGCATACCAATTCTTGTATAGACGGTCTTTGTGTGCCTGACATATTAAACATGTGGTCTCTGTGGCAAAGAGATAAAACAAGCAGTGCCCGATGCCAGCATGTCAAAGCATGAAAGCTGCTGTTAGACACAAACGAACTTTTTGGCACCTTGCGGCATGCTCCTTCAGCAGATTTGAATGGTAAACGCGCGTTTTTGCGCGGGTCCTGCTGAGCGTGCGACCATGTTTGAGGGGCATGCATACACCGCAAAGCCGACAAAAGCTCACCCTCCGAGCAGCCGGCTTCTTCAAGGGGCAGTCACTCCGAAAAGCTGCAAAGTCGGAGACGATGCTTGAAGACCTGGGTCACGTGCCCAAATCAGTTGAAAGCGGGGCTCACTCTTTTCCACATCGAGCTCGCAAACTAAGTGGGCGAATCACTTTTTGTTTTTTGTGTAATCCATTTAAGGGCTAGCAACCAACTCCAAGAGCAAAATGTCAAAAGGGTTTAGAGTCAGGTGCTCGAATCACTCTCAAAAACTCAGTCCGGGGCGATGTCACCACCACCTCATTTCGCCCACCTGAGACAGAGCCAGACACGGTAGCCCTGGCTCAAAAGACTGGCCTTCCATCTATCAAATCATTGGATGGATTCGGAAGCTTTACAGTGCAGCTACCTTCGGAAAAGGACCTCACAGTGCTGTGAAATGGCAAAGACCGAGAGGGCAATCAGTAAGATCAATCAGTGGGAGCAATGAGTGGGAGCAATGAGTGGAAACTGCTTGCAGAAGGTTGCAGGTGGCTTCTGTCTGCTTCTTTATAACTGTTCGCTCTTGAGCCGCAAGCTCCGAAGCATTGTGGCTGTCAGGGCTGCCATGGCGACCGGCGCTTCCGCACATCGCAGGTGGAAAATCCTGCTTGGCGAGAACTTTTTCGACGAGCATTGGTCAGGATAGAAGCTTCTCTCCAGGAACGTTGCTGTACACCCAGTAGGTGACATCGCTTTTGGTGGTCCAGGACGTATCTAGGTTCTCCAGAACCTCAAGGCAACGATGAAGCAGGACGTACGATGGCACAACCCATGCCAGGGCAAAAACAAGAATGGTGACAGCTCCTGTAAATCAAGGCTTCGGCTGAATCAATTCAACTGACATCCAAAAAATGGCCACTAGTAGTTCTGCAGCATAGTTGTTGAATTGAAGGGAGCCCCACCCGGTCAGCATCGGCCAATTAAAGCCTTTGAACTGAGTCCCGGCACCCCAAGTGGTCGCAGGCTTGTCTGCGGCAGCTCGCGGGAGGTCACCAAATACCTTGAGCCGCATTTGCCAATGCTGATGCCGCCTTCCTTTGTGGATGTCGACCAAGATGCTTCAGCTTGGAATTCGCTTCAGAGCGGCGCCGCAAACAGTCCTTAGTGAGACTAGCTCAAGGGCACCATGAAGGCAAAAGACAAAAGCTGGAATGTGAGCCATGTGCCGTGTACTTCAGCGCATTGGAACATGTTGCAAGGTTCAAGTAGCAATACGTGAAGGATTTCTTGTGCGTCAACAAAGAGTTCGAAGTCTCCCAATGCCATGGGGTATGGGATGTTCTTACAACCGAACCAAAAGTGAAAACAGCCATTGTACAGGACCCGCGCTTTGAGACACCTTTGGCTAAGGCACCATCGCCCGGTCGTCAAAGCATGTGGAGGATGCGAAAACGATGGTGGAGTCTGACCAGTCCTCCTTGCATCTGCACTCACTAGCCTCCCTCCATGGCATCCCTTGCCGTTGGAGTGTCTCAGACTTTTGGCCCCCAGCACATGCCCCAGCTTCCCAAAATTAAAGAATAACTCAGTTCAAAGACCTGTCATGCTTCCAAGGCCTCTGAAGGGTCGAAGTGCCCTTTATCAAACACTTCAGGGTGGAGCGCGAGGACTCGGTTTGAGTTACCATGGACAGGCATCCTGACATACGTCGCCCTGCACAAGCTCTATCTCTTTGGACTTGGCCATGACCTTGGAGCAGTGTATGCGAACATCTGGGTAAGACATGCGTCGTGTAAGAGGCTTAATGCCAATTGCCATCCAAGCCGCATGTGTACTTTGGAAGTCCTTGATGTGCTGCAAGGCATCTTTGTGCCGCTGCTTCACAAACTCGATCCCGCGTGCTTTTCGCACAGGTGAGTTGGCATACACTTGCAGAACAACATTTCCTGAGAGCCATGGCAATAAAGCCAATATGTAGAATCTCAAACTGTGCTGTGCATCTCACCACCCAAAAGCAGCTGACAGCGGAAGCTCGGGCAAAAGGCTTCCTGACCAAAGATACTCCGCTTGGCTTGTGCTCTACAAATTGATTGTTGAGAATTAGACTTGTAGGAAAATGGATGTGTACTGAGCTTTGTAGTCGAAAGCACTGTGCAAGTGTCCTTTACTTGCGCAGACACACTGTTTGCAGCTAAGTATCCGATTCCTGAACCCAAGTCCGTAAAAACATCAGACTCGTCAATCGAAAGTCGCTGCAGCATCATCCTCACCTGATGAATTCATCTGGACGTAATTGTTGCCAAAAACTAACATGCAATCTAGCAACTACCTGTTTGCAAAGAAATCTTGGTTGCAACACTTTGATTTATCTGTATAGAACCAGATCAAAATGCTTCCAGCCAAGTTCATCAATAGTTCAACGAGCGGATGAAGGATAGTTGGACACCACCTTGCCCACGCCTTACTCTGTGCAAAGCCGTCTGCCAACAAGGCTCCGACTTTGAGGTGATTGTTCCGTAGGCATATGTGATACTCTCTTCACCTTGCAACATCCGGCAGAATGAATGGGTCTGCATGTCATGGGATAGCTCACAAATGTATGTGCACAGCACAACTTCACTTTGGGCATGCATAGAGCAAACCCGTAACCGCACTGCTCCAGCCGTCAGTCACTGTGCCAAGCAACACGTCTGGCACAAAAACTGGCAACGTGCTCGTGCATTGCCCTCGCAAACAAGCCAAGGCACTGAAAGAAAAAAATATGTCTCTTTCCTCCTGCGAGTTGGGGTTGGCAAAGTTTCCTTACATGCCGACTAAAATGGCTGAGCATCTCGCAAATCATAGCACTTGTAGGGAAAAGCCCCTCTCAAGTGTCTCTTTCTAACTACTCAGATCCACAGTGTGATACTATATCACTTTGTAGCCAAGGAGCCAAATATACTTGCCAAGCAGGCATCGTCGCCTTTCCGCTCTGCAATTCAGACACGGGGTCAAGCCCAAATCATTCATGGGCAACAATCGCAGACTACCAGTGCGAAAACGGAGCTTGATGATAAAAGCCTACGGATTCATCTCCAAATGAGGCCACCCGATGGTTGGCTCACCAGTATCCCTTCAAAGTACGACCTAAAAGGTAATCCGCACTATCGGGCCACTGCGCCGTGATTGCTGCAGACAAGCTGCACACCTCTTGTGAAGATGCATATGCTGCATCCTAGGTGCAGCACATGACAGTGTGCAATCTGCAGCCACTGGGCCAGCCCCATACCGAGCGTCTGCAACTGGGCCGAACAGCAGGGCAGAAGACATCAAGTACCGGCGTAGATGTGCCCTGGGCGCTGAAATGCATGTTCCCCTATAACCACAAGACATTCTATGGCTAACCCTGGCATTGGCAACCTGGAGTGCACGTCTATGGCCCATCTCAGGTCAAGTGTGTGGGCAGCTAGCCAATAAATGTCTAATCACTTGGGCACAAGCCAAGCCGCGAATGTGAAGGCGCGGAAAAAGCCCACGCCCAAGATCTTCGCACCATCACCTTTAGCTGGAAATATGAAAGCTGTTCAAGGGCTTGCGGCCCAAGTTACCGGTTCTGTGCTCTGTTAGATGGCTATCTTCTGAAAACGACAAGTCGACCAAGCCAAACTGCCATGTGTGTTTTATGTTTGCGCAGTACACAGCCTGGATTTCATGATTGCAACCCATGTGTTGGTTGCAAAAAGATTGGATTCGTCCCTTTGCAGCAAGGGCCTCGGGGCACACATTCTTCGCAGGAGGAAAGCAAATACCAGAAATGGCTGCATCTCCAAATTGAGTGACAGCAAGTGGAAGCTTCTTTCTTGCCTTGGCAATTGAAACCATACCGAAGAGAGTCCCCAATGATAGGAAGAACGTAAATTAAACAGATGCCTCTACATGTCTAACAGGTGACCATGACATGGATAACCCAGAAAAATACACCTTGGGATCCTTTTCAATTTTGTCAACACGACTTGTCCCTCTGGACTTCGCTGATGTTGCGGTTCGAGTTGCGCAGGCCGCAGCCAGGACCAAAGCCCGCAAGGCTCCTGCTCGAGGGAACTTATGAGGGGTCAAGTGGAACTGGAAACACAAGGAAAAGAGGGGTGAAGTGACACAAGTCCTCCAAACCTGAGATTCAAGGGGTCTACACAAACCCCTGTGCCACACTGGGCCCCAAATCTTCAGCTACCCAGGCTGTTTTGCTTGGTTTTGAACAGTTACAACTACATGGTGAATTGCGGTGTGTTGTCGCTTCAATTTTCAAGCGCAGAAGAGAAGCCAAGTGATCTCTGACAAGCCACAAGAAACCAAATTAGCAGAACCTAAAGAGAATAGTCTGGAGTCTGGTACTGCGGAAAATCGATTCCAATGGCTTATCAGCCCCTGCATGACTTCCCGATTTTGCCAGGCAGGCGTGGGTGTTGCTAATAATGACTCATGTTAGACGAGGGAATGCAAAGAAACACGATCAATCGCACTTCAGCCAGCTTGCAATGAGTCCCTCACGCCCAAAGCATGCAAAAAGGAAGAAGAAATCAGTCTGGCAACTTGCTTCGCCTGAATGTGTGAATTGGGTGTTTTGCAAATGCTCCAAGGCAGCGGCTCCTGCACAGCGCCCAGCCATAACTCCGCACACAATCCTTTGGCTGCGTCACAGCTCGTCACGAAGCAGGAAGGTGGGTTTTATGCTTTGTATGCGGAGCTGGCTCTGCCTTGCCTTTTGCTACTTGCAAATACATGTCTCTCCGTGTGGTTGCACTTTGAGGAAGGAATACAAAACCGCAAGCGTGCAGCTGCGAAGGCCAATGTGAACAGTTTTCTGCAAAGCAGATCTGGTGCACAATAAGGTAAGCTGAGCCGGCATGCAATTAAGCCTTCAAGCCTTTACATATCAAAGGTCATAGCAACAAAACAGAAACAAGAAATCCAACTGATGGGCTGCAACATGCTGGTGCACAATTGCAAAACAGACAGTCAAGGAAGGCAGAGTCAACGTGTCGCCGCCGACGTCTACATGGCATATCATCCAAACAATGCCGGTTGCTCAGCGTGCCCTCGCCAGGCGCAGGGAGTTCTCGCATTTTGTCCAGCTTCATCTTCCCCAGGCTCAAAGCCACGAAACAATTCAGCCTATTGGCTATGATCAGGTGTGTCACCTGCAACCCCACAAAAAGGCATCATGCGAAGAGGTTGCAAATCACTTCGTCAAAACAGGCTAAACGATTGTTCCAACCTTGACCTGAAAGTCTGAGTTTACAACCGCAGAGCCAGATGCCTAGGCCCTAAGGCCAACGACCGGGGTACCCCCTACCCGGAGGCCAGAAACTGATGCCATCTTTCTCCAGCTGACGAAATCTGGCGGTCAGCCCTTGGCTTACGAACTCTTCAACGAAAAAAGATCGCGCAGCTGACGATCGTCCAGGTCTGCAATCCAGCCTTCCTGGCCTCAGCGCACGCACCGCCGAACACACGATGGTGTTCCGTTTGCACACCTTCAAGTGGTTCACTTCACGGAAAGCAAGACAAACATGTGCTGGGCTGCCCCTAGTTAAATACCCCAGGATTGGCTTTCGGGGCAGCACTCTAGTATACTACAGCAAACCAAGGGTTCGCCGAGTTTTCGGAAGAGCCACATCTCAACTGGTATCCCCTGCGAGCTGCAACACGGCATGTGCCCCGGCCTCCTGCCATGGTGAGATCAGAGAGGCGCTGCTTCTGCTCCATGATCTGCCCGAGCCGCTCCTCAAAGGTGTCCTCAAACCGCAGGGGAGTGAGGGAGGGAGAGAGTTGGTTGGGAGTTTCAAAGTTTTAGAAATCCAATGGCTGAAATCAAATTACTCAGATGGGGGAAGCTCGACGTGGTGAATGCTCCTTGCTCACAAGGCGATGCACACACACCGTCTTCTTTTGACCAATGCGGTGAGCTCGATCTGTTGCCTGCCAGGAGCTCCCACATCGCACTTTGTAACCAAACATCGGGACTGTGTGCTGCCTGGTTCTCCTTGGCAGGATTGTACTGCCTGTCAAAGTGGATGACATGCGTCGCTGCCGTGAGGGTTAGGCCCACACCACCGGCCTGGCAGGCAGAGCCCGGCTCAATTGTTTGGGACTGAGCATGCTCTGCTACAAACACAAGCTGCTTATGTTTCCTGAACGTGCTGACGCGTGTGAATTCACAGGCCCGGTTCAAGAGTGTTCAAGTGCAAGCAGTACTTGGCCCGTCATTGAGCGCTTGCACCCGCACCACACATTGAGCCCACAAGCCTGCAGGGAAAGGATGATGAGCGGGCAGGCAGGATTGGTCTGAAAGGCGCTCATCGCAGCCTGACATCAAGCCACTCAAGCCAGACGAGCTCTTGAGAAAAGCGGGGCTCACGCCTCACGCTGCTCCGTGCTCATGCTGCCCACAATTTTCAGCGGCTCGCAATTGAAGCGCCCGCGAATCTGCGCGCAGAGCATGTCGATGGCCACCAGGGAGTTGCTGAAGATCAGCGCCTTCTCGCCAGATTCGAAGATCGTGGTCAACAGCTCCTGCAACTTGGAGCACTTTCCGCTAGCCTCCACCTCCGTCGGCTTCACGTGCACCTGCTCCGGTCGCCGGCTGTCGGCCAGGCAGGCCGGGTGATTGCAAATCTCCCGGAATGCCTGCAGCATCTTCAGGATGTGGCCACATCGCCTGACAGTGGGCCACCTCTTTGAACATGCTTGCTTTGACATACTCTTCATCAAACCTCGTTCGAGTTTCCTTTGAAAGAGCTCCACGGCCAGTTCCCAGGACCAAAACCCGCGGATCGGGTCACCAAGTTTGCCCCCGCCTGAACTTGTCGTCCCGCGACGGAAGGTCCTGAAACGCCTCCTGCGCCTGCAGGTACAGCTTCTGCTGCGCAGTGCTGAGCTCGCACTCGTGCGTCTGCTCGATCTTCGGCGGAAGGTCTCCTGCGAGCATGCACAACGTCCACTGAAGTTCCCAAACCCCAACTTACCGAAACCTGAAAACTCTGAACTCTTAACTGTTGAGCCTGGCAAACACCTGAAACCCTCTGATCTCAACCAAGCCGGTCATCAAATGCAGGATTCGGAGCGAACATCTTCAAAGCTGCTTATTGTGGAACTAAGGTCATGTTGTTCCATGTTGGTACGGTTGATTGAATTTCATTTTGTTGAACCCTGCCTGCGACCTTGGGATCCGTCTTGCTGCGTCGCAGGATGAAGGGCGCGACAATGCGTCGGAGCAGGGTCTGTTGCTCGAAGTAGGCAGGGTGTTGAGCTCCCTTGGCCACAGCCGCAAGCGGCTTCCCGAAATCCTTCTCGAACTCCTGCCGGGAAGAAGCCAGATACCCTGGGAGGATGAACTCAAACTGGCTGTGCAGGTCCGCCATGCGATTCTCTACTGGGGTACCAGTCAATGCCACCCGCACTGGACCGACCTGCTCTGCGACCATCTTCACTGCTTTCGAAATTTGTGAATTGTAATTCTTGATCTGCTGCGCTTCGTCCAGGATCATTCCACCGAATGTGTCGGGGCAGGCCAGCCGCGCAGCATCTGAGCGGCACACCCCGTAGGATGTCAGGAACACATCCGCCGTGGACACGGCCGCTGCCGCCTTGCGCTTCCTTGGCTTTGGCGCTGGCAACTCTGGCTCCGGCTGCTTGCCCCTGGCACGGCGGCGCAAGGGCTCAGGGACAGCAGGCGCCGCCATGTGCGGGAGGCATCGCTTATTTCCGAAATACACGTGCACCGAGAGCTCGTCGCCCGCCCAATGTGCCAGCTCACGCGACCAGGTCGTGAGCACGCCCTTGGGAACCACCACGAGCATGGGCCGCTCCAACAGGCCGTTCTGCTTCATGTAGAGAAGGAGCGAGATGGCCTGCAGAGTCTTGCCCAGGCCCATGTCATCTGCCAAGATGCACCCCAGGCCGTTCCGTGCGTTGTTCACCAGCCAATGGTAGCCTGTGAGCTGGTAGGGTCTCAGGCACCCCGCCAGCCGCTCAGGAGGCGGAACCTCCTTGGCGCGGATGATGCCCATCTCAGGGCCATCGAAGAACTCCTGGATCCGTGCATCCAGTATGACCTTAGAGCACAGCTCCCTTTCATTTCCCCAAAGGCACCCACATCCTCGGCTGAAATTGGCAATTCAACTCGCAACGCTGTGCTGTGCGCGTCTCGCCCTCACTGGGCCTGCGGCTTCCTCCAGGGCGCCAAGCGCTGCTCTCAGCAGGGCCACGCTGGCCAAGGGCCTCGGGGGCTCCGCCTTGATGTGCTTCAGGATGCTCTTGGCCACGCTGCGTGTCACCACCAAGCCACTCTTCCCGTTCTTCCCGTTCTTCCCGTTCTTGGCCTTCCGCTTGGCAGAGATGATGTGAGCACCAGGAAAGCGGTTTTGCACCACAGAGCGCGCCAGGCCTCGGCAGTCTGCCAGTGGCAGTAGGCTGGTGGTCTCCTCCTTGACACCCACTGCCCACTCAAGGTCCACGTGCTTGGCGATGTCGCGCCATGACTTGGGCAACACTTTGCCCTTGAACTTTACACCCTTCACTAGCTGAATCGGAACTGCTCCTTTCGTGGCCTTGGTCAAAGCCTCAGCAACCAATCACAGGTCTCCCGCCCACATCTCTCTGACCTCCCTCTCTGTCTCTCTCCTGCCTCTCTTTCCTCTCACTTCTTTTCGCCCTCTCCCCCCGCGCTCTCTCTCTCTCTCTCTCTCCGCTTGATCTTTGGGCAGCCCAGCAGAGGTGGCGCTCCGAAGTGACTTCTCAAATTGCGGACTTTGCCCCAAGAGCCCAAAGAAGCGCTCGCCGCTGGCAGCTGCAGTGGCCCGCGCCCCATCCAGCGCCGCCTCTGCAGTCGCCAGCGTGCCCCGCACACGCTCGGCCTGCCGCTCCCACCACGCCTGGGCGACAGACAGGTGCGACGTCTGAAAATGGCGCGCTGTGCAGTGGGTTGCTGCTGCGAAGGGAGCATCAGCCCTCTATTTGCAGTTGCCATTACTGCAATGCATGGTTCTTTCCTCCACTGTACAGATGCACTGAAGCAATGGTTTGCCAGTGTTTAGCAGGGCAAGATTTGAGGGCAAAACGCTTTCCTGTTTTCGTAAACCCGACCTGCTCTGAAGTCAAATCAGCTGCAGCCGCGCACTGGGGGGTCTGCTGAAAGTTCGATCCAGTGAACAGCACTTTCAGACCTCCTGGACACTGGGTGCAGAGGCCGTCTACGATGCCTGGCAGGGCTATGTGTACGTGTATTTGCAGGTGTCTGTCCGACAACTGGCATGGCGGACTGTTGCAATCAAAACTGCTGATGCAGCAAATCCAGCTTGCCCGGCAAAGGCTTGAGCTGAATCATCACTGCACGTAGGAGTCCGAACAAAAATGAACACACAGCCACAAGTCTAATGGCAGGAAGGGGCCAAAGTAATCCGAAAGGGTTTAGGCAGGCTGCGCCTGGGCGGCCTTGCTGGTCACGAACTCGCGCTCGGCGCTTGAAGCCCAAAAGCTCTTCAGAACCTTCGTCGGATCCAGCATCTGGCTGGGTTTGGTCCTTGAGCTGAATGCAGTTGTGAGGAATTACGTAGATTCTCCCATCATTGAATCGCACCTGCGAGGAAGTGTTGGATTGCCTTTGAGTGACAACGCCTTCAGCTGGCTGAGGGAGGGGAAGACCAAGAAAGCCACCGACGAGCACCCGGTCGTCTTTCATGGGGCAGGCGCGCAAAGAATCCGCTCGCACCCAAAGTTGAACGTCGTAGCACTTAATTTGGCACTCATCCCCGCTGATGCTCTCAACTTGCCATTCTGAGTCGGCGAAGTGGAACAAATGAACGAGATGGCCTGGCTTAATGAAAACTCGCTGACCAACTCGGAAATGGTGCGACGGCGTCATTGCCTGAGCGACAGAACTCTGATCCACCTCCCATCCCTGGCTGCTTCAGACCGTCCTGCTACCAAATGGCTAAATCACTTTGGGAATCACTGACTCTGTGCGTTCATCATGCCCCAAAGGAGGGAAATGGAACTTTTGACTCGGCACGTCGATGTGAAGCAAAGCCATTGGCCAAGCTTGTCAACAACTCGGGCCAGGCGTCTGTCGGGTGGGCCTGCGCCTGCTGCGCCTGGGCGGGGCTCCCAATGAAACACCAAGCTGTTCTAACAACTTAAAACCATCCCAAAATCGAAAGTACCAATGGCTCCCCTCCGCGCCTTGCCCTCCGCCGAGGACAACTCCGAGCAGGCGACGTCCCGCTGGCGCTGGCTGCTCATCAGCCGAGCATCTGCGTGACACTTGTGCTGCTGCGCCTGAGGGCTTCAGGAACAGGCGAAACGCGCGTAAGCTGCGCAAAAGACTTGGAGTTCCTTTGTGGAATCAGGCCCAAGGAGCGAAACCCTGAGACAGGCTTGGGGGGTCCAACATCCTCCAACATACTCGAAAACCTTAAGAAGGTTCATGTTGGATGCATGCAGGCACCGCACCTGCTCAATTTCTGCATGGTGTTTGCTCAACACCTCTGTCGCTTTGCACTTCTTGGCGGTCAGGTTTGTGACGTCCTGAACAGCATGGCTGGAGCCGAACCTAAATCTGGCAGCATTACGTGACAGCCAGACCTGGAACCACAACGGCAATCGAAAAAAATGTATCACGCTCACTCCATCCACTTTCCTCAAAGTAGCAAATTGGACCTCACAAAGCCACTATAATGATGATTGTAACCGGCCTCAAAATGAATCTCCCACCACCACACGACACCTGAGAACACCCGTGTCACGTCCTTCAACGCAGATCCGCGCTTGGATACATCTTCAGCCTCGCTCTCGGACATGTCAGGTTCGGAAGACTCCTCCTCGCTTTCGAACGGGATTCCGGTCGTGTCATCCTCGCCGAAAAGGTCATCCTCGCCGAAAAGGCCATCTTCCTCCAAAAGGAACATGAGCACCTTCTTGCACCAAATGGGATGACAACTTGCCTAGAAGCCTGCAGAGCCTGAATCTGCTGCGCTACACACACAAACCAGTTGGTTCTACAAACCTGTCAATAGAAATACGCAGATGAACACTATCGTGATTATCACAAGTATCATAATCATCAACAACAATCACAGCCGTCCTCGTCTTCGTCCTCTTCCTTGACCTCGTCCTCGCCTTCGTCATCATCATTGTCATCATTGTCATCATTGTCATCATCATCATCATCATCATCATCATCAGCAGCATTGTTGCCATCGTAATCGTCGTCATCATCATCACCACCATCCTCATCGTCGTCATCAGCATCGTCATCATCATCCTCATACGTCCCTTCAAGATTTCCACTTGTGCATGAATTGATCTTCCCATGCAAAACAACAAGGCTTGCCGGCGCCGACCAATGTTAGCACAAACAACACGTGAACTAGCAAAGTGACCTGCACGCCAGCGATCAACTTGATTTCCTTGAAGCACCCATCAAATCAGAACAAATCTGCAATCACTTGCAGCCACCCAACCTGAGACAGAAGATTTGAAGGTTCCTTGTCCAGGTTCGCGTCCGCTTCCTTATTTTTGGGGCAAACTGCAGCTTGAGTTGTCAAACGTGCAAAAGACGCTGCAGTACCTCCATACAGAAATCTACCACAATCTCTCTTTATACATTCCTTCCTGCTCGCTTTTCTCCTCAAATCTACTGAATCATGCCATCGCTACACGCCACTCCAGGAAAGGAATTAACCGCGGAAAATTTGAGAGCGTTTTGCTGGTTGTTTTGAAGCAAGCGATTGTAACACAGTAGTTTTAATCTGTCGGCAGCAGCAAACGCGGATGCGCTCCTTTCTTCGGTTGCACATGTGTGTCGAGCTGGGTAAATTGCAGGCTTTAGCTCAAAGAAAGCTGTTCACTGGTGCTAAAATCAGATGCTACTGGCATTTGACCCAAACAAGCAAAAAAAAGATAACACTAGATTGCTTCCTTTGGGTTGAAAGTGAAAAACAAAAACAAAAAAGAAAAGTACACCGCAGTTGGCTGTAAGCGTTATTTGCAGCATTCCATTGTTTCGCCAATTGAGCCATGCTGCACCTTCAAAAAAAACGCCATCCACCTGTTGAAATTTGCTTAGGCACCCTTTTTGCCGGTCCGGCTGCATCTTGGTCCAAAAATTGATTTTGCCTTGTCACAAGACTTTGGCCCTACAACCTTCCAAACATTTTGAGCAGCACAAACATGGCGTTGAGCAGAACAAATCCATGTTCAGCATAATTGGCATTTTGAAGTTGCTTTGCTTTTTGTGCATATTCATTGCATACTTTCGCACAATCTGTTTTGGCATGATTGTGACAAGGTAGAAGGGAAAATTCTAGTATCGATTCCAACCATTAAATACCTTTTTGTGCTTTTAGTCGACTATTGACTTGCTAAGGCCCAATAACAAATCCATCAATGGAATTTGCCAAATGCGTTCCAAGTGTTTATAATACGCAAATATGCCGGTTTAAAAGGTTTTTTGTTTCCGCGTGCCTTCTACCGCACAGTCGCCGGTTGACAACTTGGAAAGCGAAGCAAGCAACCCCAGTGAAGGAAGGACCAACGCAAACAAGCAGTCCAAGCTTTATAAAATCAAAGACTTAAACCAGGCAGAAAACGGAAGCTAAGAGAAAAAAACAGGTTTTTAATCTAATCACATTCTGCGGCCGTCCAACAAAGGTGCCGGAGGCAGCGCTAACGTACAGAAGGCTGCCCAGGTACCGACAGCCAAAAGTGGCGCTTAGAGTTACGGAGCCTTCCACCTAAAACCTGGAGCGCACCAAAAAATTGCTTAGCGTGGTAGTGGACTCTAGCAGACCTTACAAACTTCTCCGTGGTGCCTGGGCTTCAAATTCGCTTGTTTTCCGTCGAAATCGGGCTCCAGACGTTCGCCGTGCTCCGGATTCCGCTTTCTGCTTGGAAAAGCCTGCAAATTCCAGCCCGCTGAGCTTGTCACCGTTCGTCTTTTCTTTGTCACCGCTCGCTTTTTGGTCGCAAAAGTGCGCAAAAGCGGCCCCCAGTTCCGGAGTTCTCCGCAGGGTTTTCCGCGGTCCGACAGCCCGCCGAGGACCTGCTCGGAGTCCGGCCGCCGAGGTGGTCCGTCAGCCCGCCGAGGTGGTCCGTCAGCCCGCCGAGCTTGTCACCAATGATGTCACCGCTCCGTCCGGCTCCGTTTTTGGCGCAAAAAGCGCTTAAAACGACCGAGTCCGAAGAGTCCGTTTTTCGTGTCAGACTGTAAGTGGGATGCCTAAGCCTCCAAATTCGCTCGTTTTCGGTCGAAAGCAGGCTCCAGACGGTCACTTTGCTCAGGATTCCGCTTTCGACCCGGAAAACCGGCGAATTCCAGCCCGCCGAGCTTGTCACCGTTCGTCACTGCTTTGTCACCGCCTCGTCACCGCTCTCTTTGGGGCCGAAAAGTGCGCAAAAGCACCCCAGTTCCCGAGAGGACTCGGTTCTTGGCAAGTTTGAGTCATTAATGGAACGCAAGGTTGGCTCATGAATGGGCAAGGTTGGCTCATGAATGGGCAAGGTTGGCTCATGAATGCCCCGCAGGTCATAACCACTGAGACAAGTGTCCTATAAAACTATGCACACAATGCATAGCTTCACCGGTCAATTCGTCATGAGGCCGAGGTGTCCCAAGCGTTTTGACCGACACCATCGGTCACTTCATCAGAGGTCTCATAAGTGAAGGATACTTTCCCTCACTTCATGTACTGGTAGCACGGGGGTGATATATAATTGTACCGCCCAGCGCTACGAAGGCCCCGAATGACCCATAGCGACTCAAGGGAGGGCGTGTTGCGAAAGTACAACACCCCTACGATACAAGTACGTAGCGACTACTCCTAAGAAAACATGTTTGAAGGACCTGTCACGGGCAACATCCCGGAGGTCCTGGACAACGGAGAGGTAACTGACGGCACGCGCGTCACCGCAGGGCAGCTGGCCCTCGCTCTGACGCCCTACGCCCAAGTAACTGACCTGGCGGTGAACACGGCAGCCTCCGGCAACAACGCGGCGGCCATCCAGTCCCTGGACGACCGAGTCACCGCCGAGCTGGCCTCAAAGCTGGACGGCAGCGCGCTGGCGCCGGCAATCGCGCCCCTGGCCACGGCGGCGGCCCTGGCCACCACGGACGGACAGGTGGCCGCGCACGGAAGCAGCATCGCAGCGCTGCAGAGCTCGCTGACCACGGGTCTCTCCAACAAGGCAGACCAGTCGGCCTTCGACGTGCTGGAGGGCGTGGTGGCCACGAAGAGCACCCCGGACGGCGTGGACCTGAAGCTGTCCAACTACAGCACCACGGCGGCCATGAACGGATCCATCGCCTCGGCCAACAACGCCACGCTGGCCACGGTGGCGGCCAACTACGGCCTCAAGACGCACGTCACTAGACATAGCGGCGAATCAACGCCGCTGGTGGGTCGACACCAAGTGGCCAACCCTCGCCTGGAGCCGTCAACTCGCCTCCCGACTTGCGAGTCTAGGACGCCTCCATCCGGGGCTGCAGGCCTCCAGCGGACGCCAGCGCCCGGACCAGCTGACGCTCTGCTCTCAGGAGGTGGTCTCTAAGCTAGCGGCGGCCCTCCTGGAAAGCAGTCCACCCGCTGCCTAGAACATGCTCGGCCAAGGCGACGCAAGCGCGCTGGCCTCATCTTCTGCTCTCCAATGGCGGGTTGGACACGCACGATAGCAAATGTCCTGCTGGATCCCTCACAACCGAGCCTTTCGCCAGCTAGCCGCGACGCCCAGCATAATCATCACGGCGCTCCTGGGGGCAAGGCCGACGCAACGCTGCTGCCTTGTACGCCAACGAAATTGCCGCGCTCCTATCAGCCACGAGATCTCCGCCAGCGAGACGCCCTCGACGCAATCCTCGCGGAGCTCGCCGCCCTGCAGCTTTCCGGCAGCGGCGGAGTTGTTAACACGCCGGCCTGGGCGGGCTTCACAACTTGGGAGCTTGTTCGCGGAAGCAACGTCGTTCGCAACCTGCATCTGGAGAAATCTCTCTCCGCTGCGCTGGCCAACGGCGACACTCGCGGCAGACACCTCCACTCAATCGAATGCGCGGACGCGGCCCCAGCGCTGCGCTGCTGCCAATGACACCTCGCCAGGTAGACGCGCTGTGGGAGACTACCTTCAAGGAAAGGCCGAGGACAACGCAACGCAGAGGCCGCCATCACAGCCGCAAGCCGCGCTGCTGGCCTTACACCTTGGTGGGTAGACGCCCTGTTAGAAGACTAGGTGCGCACGACGATGTCCAGTGGGTTACCGTCCAGGTCAGGGTGTAGCCCTCACAGCCACAGCTCTCCTATGGCGGCCACCACCTCGTCGGCCCCTCCGTCGTCCGGAAAGCGCACGGCTATTTGCAGGGCAGAGGCTGCCTCCGTGACGCCGAGCTTGTCGGCCAACAAACCGTCCACTTGTGCGATGGTGTAGTAGCTGAGCAGCGCGGCTGCGATGCTCGAGGCCGTTGCCGTGTCCTGGTCTGCGGCCAAACGGTACGCCACCAGCGATTTGGTTGGTTGTGAAGACGTCCTGTCCGGCCGTCTTGTAGGCCAGCTGCAGCGCCCGCATGGCGGCGCTCTGCGTGTCCTGCGCGCCTTGCCGTGCAACTTGACGCCAGGCCCTCATCGTTAGGGGGTTTCCCAAATGATTCTATTCTACCTGAAAGGCCCTGGCACGCCGCCGCTAACACACAAACCACCGGCTGCCACGAGAGAGCCCTCTCTCACTCTGAAAAAACCCGGCCTGATGGCTGAGGGACCGCCCTACCTGCCAACGGAGTCTGGCGGACGTCACCGCCTGCCAAGCAAACAAGCACGGGACGATCCGGGTTGCGCCTACCCGCGCCTGTTGGATGCTCTTCCGCTCTCGGGGCAGCCCCGCTTGGAGGCAACGCAATGCCGTGAGAGGACTCCTTCGGGGTGTCCTGGTTGGAGACAACGGGAGCGTCGTTCATTGACCTGAACATCAAGGCAAACGTGCAGTTGTGACCCTA